GCCAGGGAGCCACTCGAGATGAGCTGACCAGGCCCCGGTGCGTCGAGTGGGGACAGGTGTCACGAGCGCACGTCGGAGAGAGCGCTTGACATCTTTCGAGTCGCAGCCAACTTCTGGGACGCGCCGGTACGAGATGGCGTTTACGACGCGGACGAGATTTACGCTGGCACTGGCCGGCTGAAAAATGCGGTGAACTTCGTTTCTTGGTTTTCTTTGGGCTTTACGGGATCTCGATGAGATTCGAAGCTACCGCGTTGGGATATGGTCGCTGACTTATAGTTATTGGACATAGATTGACCCCTTGCGGACGGAGGTCGACATTTTGGCGAGATGAAATGTTCATATTTGGAATATTAAGTTGCAAAGGAATGATTTAATGAGTTGAATAGCAAGAGATCAGTGTACAGTTTCCTTTTTTTTTTATTGTTGAAACACTCGATGTACAATTTAGCCTCATATGTTGCCAGCCTTGTGTACTTTAAAGAGTCTTCGTCCGCAAAGGATTAAACCTTGGAATTTGGTATTTCATTGATTAGAGTGAAGGATTCTATGATTCAGAAGTATTTGAGGTCGAAGGTGTGAAGAATGAGGTGGTTTTGCTTTAGAAGAATGGCGAGTCTCCTGGGAATGTTGATGTTGATGAAATATTGTAAATATATAATTATTCACAGATGTTCTGTAGTCTGTAACTCATAGAAATCGGTGAAATTTAAGAAATATCAATTGACGGATGTTAAACATTGTCTCTAATTGACTATTCAAACATCTCTAAATTAAAAAGAAACTAACTACCATTATATATCCTCTTGCACCCTAAAACGACATTTTAACAGCATAATCACGATAGAAACGGGTGCCCAACTCGGAATGCCCATGAAAAATGACCCACTCCATTCTACCCGCCTCCAAACTCTGGAACACTGCACCTGATGCTTATTGTGTGTATATCGGTCACAGAATTTCTTATCATCGCTTTGAGAGTAGCAATCAAGATTGCAAGAGGACTCTTCGAGTTAACAATCGGTGAACTTTGTTTAAGGAACACGGGACGCCGGGGCGAGGACATCCGCGGCAACTTCGCCACGCTATTCAGTTGCGGGCACAATCTCGCGCGAAAAGCAAGAACAACAGACCCTATATCTTCTCGTCATCCGGCGGCCATCGGCTACGTTACGTGTACGTCGTCGTCGACGTGTTCCATCGATCCTTCGTCGAGCAAGTACAATAATCGCTAAGTACTATTGTCGTGACCGTTACCTCGGCGCGGAACGGTTCTTGCCGTCGGCACCCGGTTATTCGAAAGTTCTGCGGAACCCTGGTAAATTTGCCGACTACTCGCCGATTCTGTTTGAGATACGCGGCCCACGGAAGATTAATCTCGGGACGGTGAAAAGACTTTCGTTATTGTTGCGAGCAGCGCGCCGTTCGAGGAAACTTTGGAGCCGCGTACGAAGATATTGTTTCAGATTCCCCGGTACGCTGGAGGAGATACGATGGCGTACGCTGCAAACGAAGAGGACTGATTAAAGGAGCTCGGTAAGCTTCTTTTCATTATTATTTGTGAAATTTTAATTTTCATTAAGCAACGTTCCGCTCGAACTTGTCGACGGAAGCTATGAGATTTTCAGTTTGAACCGGCTGCTGGCTTCTCGATATAGTGCTCCCGTTTTTAGTGGTTCATCGGTGATTAGTGTTTGTATTTAATGAAAAGTGTTTCTTCGGTCGTTGTTGTTTCATTGATATTTTTGAATTGTGAGATCGGTCTTCGGTATAAGAAACTAATCAAATTATTAGACTTTGTTTCAATTTTCTAAATTACTCGATGAAATATTATGTTCTTTAGACTACTTAGTTGAAAAATTAAATTCTCTAGATTACTTAATCAATCTATCGTTTAACTTCCGACGTAAATCTGTGTTTAAAATAAATTGTCTTACTCCTAAATAAAATTTCCAACATCGTCGAACCGTGATCGATACGCGCACAATTCTCGAACAGTGGTTTCAGGAGTCGAACGCAGCCAGAAGCATAAAGATTTCGATCACGATCGTATTTCTAATCCCTATCATCGGCCCGGGGCCAACATGAAAGCACCATAACAAGAAATAATAAGTGTACACGTCAAAGCGGAAACAAGATGGACGATAAGATCTCTCGTGAAAGGCAACCTTAGGATTCCCCAGGGGATCTCCGTTCCTCTCCTTTTCCTGGGGGTGAAGCCATTTTCTAGCCGCGATGCGTGGAAGAAATTGCGGGAGAATGGTCACGAGTCTGGCCGTTAAGCGGTGAGTAACGTCTATTGAGTCGTCGATGCTCTTTCCCGTAGAAAGGAATTCGATTATCCGTACAGTGCGATGTTTCGACGATCTAAGTAGTTATAATTGCATTTAGTTAGCGATCCAACTGCGCTGGAACAACGTCACAAATCAAGTAGAATGTCTGTTTCTGTAGGAACAAGATTGTTTTTATAAATACTCCTTTTCATCTTCATTCTTAACATGGAAATGGAATTTATTTGAATTTTAATTTGTCAAGTGAAGACAGTAGCATTTAATTTTCAAAAGTATTGAATAGTAATTTAATCATTACTAATTACTAATAGTTAAATGTTTTATAATTGACATGATCTTATAGTTATTGAATTATTACCTGATATTGAAATAATACGGGAATCGTCGAAACATTTCAATTCAATATGTACAGTTGAAGTATATTAATAAAAATTCATATCTCCACAGTAAGTGGAAATGTTTTCAATGAATACTTGTGTATTTGGAAATTACCACAACTGCCTTGGAAACAAAGTACGGATTTATGAATCGTTTGTAACTCCATATTTCTGGGGGTTGCTGGTGTAGGGGTAAGGAAGTGGCTGATGGGGGATGATATTCGATGATGAGATCATAGGGGATGCTGGATACATATATATATATACACCGAATAGGGGATACGGATTTAAACGAGGGTACGAGAATAACGATGGTCCTTTTTTTAGAAGACCAGTGGGGGATCTTTGGCCCTCAGAGTTTTTATTAGATTCTTCTAATAATTCCCAGTTTTGACTATACTCGAAGTGTTTTTTATATATCAAATGAATTAAATAATACAGTTATTACTGTATCAAAAAATGAACAAACGAAGGTAATCTGAAAACATTCTATTGATCCTCCAAACATTCGTCTTCACGATCACTGTAAAATTTGGCAGTCGAAACCTTTTCTAATTGCACATAAGAAAATACAAAACACCCTATTTCCGAGTAAAAAATAAAAAGAAAACAGAAATACATAAAAGAAAATTAATAAATAAACTCGATTGAACTTCACAAATCGATATGTGCTTTCAGATATTGAACACGATTGAACATATAAAAAGCGCTCAAACGATGAGAACAGTTATAATAGAGATTAAAAGCGTTGAATGTAGAAAAACAGAGTCAAACGGAGTTTGTATAGACGCTCCCTTTCGCTTGTCCCGTCATTCGTCGGACGTGGTGAAAAATCAATCGGATTTTTCAATTGTTTAGAGGCTGGGATTGGAATCAAAGTCGACGTAAACTTCGTTGGCCAGCGGGCGGAAGCTTCATCTCTGGCTTGTCGACGGGATATTTCGTTCCGATCTCGGCACACGGGGAACGCAGAAATGGCCATCGGCTTTTCTATTATCCCGATAAACATCTCGCGGTGATGGCTTGTCAATAACGAAATACTATCGCGAAGACGTAGATGCGAGCAGCCGGGTTCACGTGCGACCGCGTATTTATTGCATCGATATCCGTATCAGGAATCAATCTGTGTACTCGATCGCATTCAACCTGGCAAATGCTCGTTCCTACTTCGGACGGTCCGTTCTCTCGAATTACCTCCGCGTGGAAAACTATTTTTATGGAAACATTCCACTGCATTTCTTCCGTTTTACAACGAACCGAGTTTATTAACCCTTCGCGAACGAGGAGGACGTGGACGTTTCGAAGCATCGAGAACTGACAGCAAAGGCAGCTGAATTGTAGATTGAACTTTAACATTTTACTGACTGGTAATTTTAGTAGAAAACTGTTTATTTTATTCATATATATATGATATGATAAGTGTGTTGCATATAATATGTTAACGATTGAAACAATTGAATCGAATGAATACGATCTAAAACGTTCCTATAAAGACCTGTAACAATTCTGTCTTCTATTGTATGAATAATTCAATTATTTCTTTGCCACTTCGTATACCGAATATGAAAGTCTGTCACCACAAAAATGACGACACTCGTCATCAAAGGGTTAACACGCGATTCTCCCTGACGATCCATAATCGCAATCCGATTCGCTTTTCACCGGTTTTTAAAGCGAAATGTCTCCGGCACCTTGATTTAATTGCGATGTAAATAAATCTACGTCGTTGTAATCGTACCGGCGCGTTTATCATTGTAATTGTAATATCGATCAATTAGACGCGAATTAATTTGGACGAGTGCCGTTGCGCGCTTGTTACGATGATTTGGATTAGCTGTTCGGCGGAGCGTAATGAATGTAATAATGAAAATATAGATTGAGTAGTGGAGGGAATGAAACACGGTAGATTCCCCGGTATCCGGATAATCAAATTTCCCATAAATATCTCAGTACGCTTTTGAAAAATTGTCAAATAAGATTATGTAGCTTAAATTTAATACGCGTATCAACTCTTAACAGCTTTCATTAATACTCACTCCACCTACAAAAGAATAGGGTATTAATATCTAAATACAGAGAACATTGTAATAAAAATGTTAATACAACAAAACAAAAAATATATCCCAACCCACAGCGAGCATAACAACCATAGAATCAAAAACAAAATTTTCCACGTGTTTACATAACGGAACTTGTCGACCGTTGAAAGTGAATTCGTTCAAAGAAACAAAAATCCTCGAACACTTTTTCAACGATCGAAGCACGTTCCGTACTAAATCGGCCACAGGGGTTCTACAACATCGCCGGATTCCAATGCCACCGGTGTACTTACAGTTCATTTTCACCAGAACGGACGACGAGAGCGGGACCGACCTATTATTATTGGTCGCGTTGCAGGTCAGCACGGTGCGGACGTCGTCCCGTCCTAAATTTTCTATAACGAGCTCGCTGCGCATCACGCCGTCCCGTACGGTCAAGGTTTTGTCGCTGACGAGCACGTCGTTACGGTGCCAGGACACCGTCGGCGCCGGTTTACCTGCGGAAACGCATCAATTGCATTTCTGATTCGTGCACTAGGGATACCAGAACACTGGAGGAAGACAAACGAAAAGTAAAGACACGAAAAATTCGACCGACGCGAATCCCCGTCGAAAATCCAGCGAAACGAATTTCTCGAATTCTTCCATGTATATTTTCTCTACTTGCAGCCTTCCCCCTCCCCCCAGCCGCGCATTTTTTACAGCAGCGTACTGCGCACTCATTAAATTCTCTTTTATCGCGGGCGCGGAAACGCGGAACATTAATTCTTTCGATTTTCCTCGCCGATCCGGCCCGGCCCGGCTCGGCTCGGCCCGGCTCGGCCCGGCTCTGACCCGTTTTATTCCGCGCGAGGATTGAGCGAGATCTCTCTCTCTCTCTCCGCGGATGAATAATATTGCGCTGGATTGATGGAATATGTAAGTATTCCCTCGGCAGGGATATTTCAAGTGGACCGAGAGGCTCGCTCACAATGGAGGGATTTTACCGTAGTCCCGAACCCGCGATGAAATGGAAACCGGATACGTGGCTGCCCTGGTAAGATAATGCTCGCCGGTTTTATTAGGTTTCTAGTGAACGGAGACGTGATGTAGTTGTTCAACACCTGAGATACCGTCGTATCAAAATTATATTAACCTCTTGCGCTGGAAATGAATTCGGAAAGTCGGCTAAGCGTTGTGCGAAGAATTTTGCTTTTAGCTGCTTTGAGGATATCTGCAGGAATTTTTTTGATTAATCATTTTGTATAGAGTGATATAGTTCAAGACAATCTAGTATGTACAATGCCATAAGAATATTGATGTATATTAGATGCCATTGGCAATTTTAGAACAAAAACAGGCGCGTGGCACGTTTTTTCGGGTTAATCAAAATTATATTTCTATTGTTAGAACATCAACGTATCTATTTCATTTATAATTTTGCAAGGTATGTCTTTGTAACGTCTGTAATACGTATACTTCCGTTAGTGTTGTAAAGTGCTCGAATCCTTAAGCTTCAAAATTCAACCTTAACACTAGAATGTCTGAAGGGACTGGAAATTATCTATTGTTACAATTTTTATAGGGATATCAAATACTTTGATCGCTCGGTAGTTCTAGTATTAAAATCTGAGTCTCGAAGGTTTGGAATTCTATATCTCTCCAGCATGGAAAGCTTCAAAATTGATTTCTAAAGCCTTAAAGACACACCTACCGAGTTGAGCCTTGAAACTTCCACAACACCAACTTTATAGAACATTAGTTAAAATAATTAGAACACGAATATATCTATTTCGATTGTAACTATACATTACACGTCTCCTTAAAACCTACAATAATAGGAATAACCGATTTCAAACGATTCACAATGTTACTTTCGCCATGTATTTCCCTTGATCTCGGTTTCTAATAATCGAAACAGTCGACACCATCGTAAGCGAGACTCTAACAGTAGCTCGGCCGGTTTTTGGTGTTGCTTCGAGGCAACGACTGTCCCGGTAGTCCCCACGAGCGAATCACGGAAACAGAGGTGACGTTATGTCGCATCGTACTCACCGCCGTACACGTCGCAGTAGAGCCGCAGAGTGTCACTTTCCATGTACGGGCCCACCACCGAGTCCCGGGCGATCCCAGAGTCATCGACGATCACGATTTTGTCCGGCGGAACTGGAACACGGAAGAAACAACACGATTACCTACAGGGAATTACTCATAAACACCGCTCGCGTGCCTGTTCACGCCGCTTTTACGATCTCCTTTAACTCCTCGATCCCCCCACGTCGATACCCATTCAGTTTTGACGTTCCGAATGATTTTTCTTGAATGTTTTATCACCTCGTACATTTGTTCATTGAATTTTTATAGAATACATTTCGTAAATACATTTCGTAAATCGCGTTGAAACTGTAGGGATATAAAATTTTATTACATCGGTTTTTGGAAATCGAAATAGCAGAAGGATTTATTGAAAGGTTTAATGGAAATTTGTGAATGAAAATATATGTAGTTTAACCTTTAACCTCTTGCCTTATGATTTCTTTCATACCTAATCTCGCAAGGATAAGTTCGTTTTTAATAATGTATCAAAAATAAAAGAACATTCCCGATTCATTTGTATCTATCTTTATTTCAGAACATAACAATCGATAATAGGAAAATAATATTTAATTTGAACCCAAAGGAATTGAGTAGTCTTTCATTGTTGTAACTTTCGTTTGGGAATTCACTTACGAGTCTGACTCGATATTGTATGGCAAGGGGTTGACGATCTAGTATAGTTTTATAGTGTAACTAATCTGTAGAAAATTGTTAAAATAGCAGAGAAGAATTTTCTTGTAGAAAATTTTTGTGAGATCATTTAGGAAATAAAACATACACTAGGCGAAATGATAGATATGTTGTTATTGATCATCGACAAGGATTAACATAATATGAAAGTTATATTAGACGCTCTTCCAATTCGCTAATGCTCATTCCTTTCCTTGGAAATTTCGAACGTACTCATTGCCATTCTGACCTCTGTATATTCAATACACCACAAATATACTCTTTCTTACATATATATCTTACATTATAGTTACGAGCTAAATATCGCCTATTACAATATAAAATTTACAAATAAACAGTTTGCAGACATACAAACGTATTCTTAATCACGATTCATCTCCATATTCCATAGAAAAATAAACCTCCATTTTTACGTTACTCTCGATTGCTTCATCCCATTCGACATTAACTAAAACACAGCAATTCCCGTTCATCCGTCCGCATTCTGGACACCCCGAACAATTATCAATATTATTTTGCGTTAACCGATATCATATCGACAGCCGTTCAGCAACAGTTGAACCGTTTCCAAATGGATTCTAAGCCACTAGCATCGATACATCACTCGAAGTTCCAGCTGATTAAGCGTCGCGCCGCACGCAACACATGCGCCCATCGACAACGTGACGTTGCAATCCCGGCCAACGTCTTAGGGCTAATTACTTCGAGTACGATCCTTGTCGCGGACCCCACCCGCTGCGAAAATAAAAGAGAAATCGCCGAAAGAAATCTGGAGGATGGTCGTCTGAATACCTTTTCGGCCGGGTCGGTGGGACAGGGAGCTGGCTCCATTGAAAACGGCGCGAGCACGGCGGTCCTAAGAGTCTGGGAAGGATCGCGTCAAGACGGAAGCCGTCGACGATAACGCGAAATTGGTATTGGAAGATCGTGGCTCGGATACCGCGACAGCATTAAATTGGAATCTGAAATCGATGCCGCGTGCTGGGTCAGGTCGGGTCGGGGCGGGGCGGGGCGAGATGGACCGCGTATCGAAGCGATGAGAAAAGAGTACGCGGGCCTGTGATGGAAGGGTTACCACGTCTAGGATGAATATAGAGTTCTTATTTGAGTACAGGGGATTCCTTATGAAAAGATAAGAAGAGAATGTAGGATAGAAGTTTGCTATTTGGCGGGTAGTTTTCGAGAAAATCGAGTTTAACATTACCAGACGGCTCAAAATTCCCGTCTTCTTCTTTTTGCAATTGTTAGCACTAAGACTACCGAGCAGTTACATTGACTTGTTGAAGTTCCTCTATAGTAACTTCAAGAGTGCACCTTTTGAGACTTGAATTGATTTATTATTCAGTTCACATATTGCTAAGTCTTTCTAAAATTTCTTTACTAATTTCTCGAAGAAACATCTGTTGACTTTTTAATAATTGCGATATGAAAAAATCAGAAACGGGTTTATTTTGACTCGTAGGTTTAGTGTTAAGTTACATTGTCTCCAGTTGTGGAACTGCACAGTATGTGATGTTTAACTGTATGGTCTATTATATTTATATGGTATTCAATAATAAAATTAATAGATTTAAGAGAAATTCTTGTTGAGAATTAAATATCTGAGCAATACAATTTTATTGTATAGTTTTGTTTTCACTTTCTTCATAAGGAATCGTCTCATATCCACTTGACACATCATTCGGTCGCGCACTGTATACGCGCACGCACCAGTGAAGCGTACAAATGGCGAACGGACGGCCGCCATTTGTCGGCATTAGGCTCTCTAGTGTTTCCTATCTCGCGGAATCGCGTGTAATACCTTATACTGCGGCTGTTATTATACTTTTCTTACACATTGCCGCACGTGTTTCTTTCATTTCTATCGTGCCTTCTTTCTTTATATTTTTTTGCACGTTTCCTGGAATGTTTTCTCTGTTTTAACTATGAAACTTATGATTATCTTTCGTTTTACTGGCAAGGAATGGAGGAACGAGGATATCGTTTTCGTCTTTTAGGTTTCTTTTAAATTAGATTTTCTTTAAGATATCATTGCGTTTGTTACATATCACGTATAATTTCGATTTTCGATCTACGATTATTTTTCACTAACAAAGATTTAAAAACTGACAGTCATGGAAAACATAAATTCGATATTATTCCATGTTGCTTCTTCTCTTATGCAGGGCAGTACTATACCGTACCGTGGATATTCGAACGGAATAAAACATCTCTGCCAATATTTGCGACCGTTACAGCCGAGGTACTTACGCTGCAATAAACATTTGCTTTTATATCATTCATCCCGTACAATATTCATAGCCTAAACGATACTTTAACGCTCTGTGTAATGTACACATCCCTCTGCTTTGATACCGGACGCGAATTGAATCTTTAATCTCTGTATCCAACTTGGAGGGAACGTCGAGGCGCCGCGCCCTCGGGGAGAATGTTCAGGGGTTGCTGCTAGGAGTAGTAATATAAGCAATCCAACGAGTTCCCCTCTAAACTATTTCGAACGGACGAAACGAAACCGTGGAAAATCTTTGAGTGACTTCGCTTATCAGAAACTCGCGTTATTTTCGTTCGACTCTAGCAAAGTGTATAAACGTACAAATGAAATTTAACTGAAAATATTCATTTGCAAGCATAATTAAAAACAATCATGTTCTATAAATTTCAGAACAGCCTGATTTCAGTTATTCTACATTAATTTTGAGATTCTACGAATCTAATCTAGCTTGAAATATTAATTTTCAACCTGTAGAAATTTTCGTTTTACCTAATTTAGGTCCAAATCGGATTCAGAGATAATTAATTACATTTTCTTTAAGTATATCGGGTGTTCTAACATTTACAATCGAGAATGAACACGATAAAGATGAACAATACTGATATTGCAGGTTCAATGAAACAATCGAAGGAACTTCTTTCAGCAATAGGTCGTTCTGCGGTTTACCGGTAATATTAGGAAGATCGATTAGCAGTTCCGTGTAGCTTAGACTATTTGTACTGTATCAGCGGTGTTCCACCGGCAATCGTGGACTGCCCAGCGAATCAATATTTGACTGTTTGAGTTTGACCAAAGAGTACGTTAGACAGCATCGATGCTCGACGTGCTCGATGTACGTTCGGGATTTGCTTAACGCTACAGCGATACTCTAGCCACATACCTTGCCCCTTATATTTTAGTTCCTTATTTCAGCTCAAACTCTGTTACTACTAATTTCACTAGAAAACCAGAATCTAAATCGTTGACACGTTCACTGCCACAAGAATCTCGAAGGTTTTATATATTACTTATTCTTTCCTGGCAAAGACAAAAACAGTAATTACACATTCTTTGATATGACAATTCATACTTTACACTATAATCTATCTACTTACTATTAAACATGTTTATTTGACATCAATCATCATATTATAATTTCATTTCAAGTAATTGAGAAATTCGTGTTAATATATCAGCATTTCCCGGAATATCAACGAGATGGAACGATTTTCACCGACAACATCGCTCGGCCTACTTAAAAGTCGGATATGAGAGATCCTGTAACCACCATTCCGTGAAACGAAGAGGAACATCAGTCGGTGTACATTACTATCGCACAACAATCGATGAAGCCAAAGTTGTAATTGGAGTTGAGTTTTCGTTTCATTCGGTACAGCATTAATTAGCAATTACTCAGAGATAACTGATCAGCATTATTTTATAGTAAATTGGGCTTTGGTCATCGGTCACCATCTTGACGGCCAACGTGTTAAGAGTGCATGCACACGAGCAACACGATCCCGCTGCGATTGTTTCCGAGTAACGGAGAAAGTTCTTCTGTCCCATGGAAGAAGGATAAGAGACCTTTACGTCTTTGCTTCTCCAAAATCGCGCATTGTCAACACTGCGAGATCTCGTCGGTCGTGTACACAGGTCCTAAATCACTCGATCGCACGACCTTCTTTGAGACCGGGCAAGTTGGCTCCGCAATCCGTGGTTCACGCGCGTCTGACGGCCCGTCGAATTCCATTCGTGCAACTCTGGGCAACCTTCGGTCAAGTCCGAAGATCCAAATCGTATTACCGCCGAGTCGGGCTAACTTTGAGCTTCAATTAACCCATTAATTCCGAATAAATCCAATTTCGCCACGGCGAGGCCCATTCGGGATTCCTTTTCGTCTAATTTCCCTCGGAAACAATCAGAGCAAACGAATTCCCGATTCCCTGTACGCAACGCGTACGGAGCTGCGGCGGGCTCGGTCCTCGGACTGCGAATGAGAAGTTAAAGGGGTACGCGATGTTGGCGGTCTAAAGCGAAGGGGTGCCTTTAACAGTTTGTTTGTTCATCTCATCCGCACCCGGCAAGTGCCGACATTTTTGTAAGGAATGTTAAGCGATATATT